GTGTAGCTACTTTGGACTTGGGGCCCAGGGTAGGCGTGGTGCCACCAACGTTCGGAGTAGCCAGGTGCATAAGGGTCGCTCACATCGCTGTAGAAACCATAGAAAGACATGGTGCCTCTTGTTACGGTCAAAGAAGAGGTGTACCTGCTGTACCGGTGGAAGCACTGGTTTTCAGCTCTTGTAGCGGCTGTACCGGTGGAAGCACTGGTTTTCAGCTCTTGTAGCAGTAGAATAAGGCTGACTCAACTGTACTTTGGAAACCACAAAGGATACTTCCAGGGATCTTGGTATGGGGCTAGGAAATTCAATTTGGTGGTAATTGAATAAGGTAGCCAGTGTAGAGGGTCTGTAACCTGCTTCCTGTATCAGCTTGGTGCTGGAAACTGCCTTGGTTTTGGTGCTTTTGCCACTGTGGAAGCTAGCTTACTGGGACCAATGAATCTCCCCACAAAAGCTCCTAGAAGTCAAGGGATGGCGGTTGCACTGGTACCAGTTTCAGCCAAGCGAATTGACCTCTTGGTTGCCTCGAGAGCTCTCCGAGTAGCTCTGCAATGCCGCAGCACGGCGATTTCAATGACTCGACGAGGAAAATCGCGAAGATACACCGTAAACTCCTTGAAATAGTGAGCGCAAAGCGATTACCAATGATGGGCTTGCTTTCAGAACAAAACCGGTACAGGGAACCTTGCACGTATAAGTCTTCGAGCGGTACCAGAGGATCCAGGATCGAAAAAAGAACACTTTGACGTTCCGTGTGACAACGTTCACTGACTCAGTGAACGACCGATAAGTACCGTATCACTCGAAAACTGCGCGGACGTTTTGATTGGCTGAGTGACTTCTGGAAAAAAAAAGTTGAATCGTTCCAAGACGTTCCTCGGGTCGAAGAAACAGTACAGGACGGAAACTCGTGACACTCGAAACTGCACAGGCGATTGGAAAGAGATATGCCTGTCGGCGCTGGATAAATCCAATTGTTCCGCGGAATCGATCAGGTGAATGAAAAGCGATAAGCCCGTCACCACAAATTCCACGTAACGTAAAAGCTTTGCTCGATTGCCAAGATAGGTGCGAAATCAATAAGTCTCCTGTTCACACAGGGAGGCTCCAAGGGCAAGAACGCGAACGGGACCAGTGAATTCTTCTTTCGAGCGAATTGGCTGCTTTTGTCGTGTGGCAACAGGAACTCGCTATCGGCAATGAGGTCCTTGTCAAGTTGGTTGATATCTAGGTCCTTTTCAAGGCAATGGTGATGGGGTTGGCCTTGTAGGAGTGGTAGATGGTCAAGTGAAAGGTTCCTGTCACTGTGGTGAACACTGGAACTATCAAAATTGATCAGAAGGTTGTTGACTTAGGACTTCAAAGTAGGCTTTGAAATCAATACCAAATCCAATGAATCCAACTGTAGCTGTAGTGTAGCACTGATTGTTGTAATGCGGAGAGCTCCTTGTCGGCCTGGAGACTCTCCTTCCCTTAAAACTGCCTGAATTCTATGCTGACTGTTAATCCAATAAGTTTCTTGAAGTCTCAGTTCCAATACCCAAGTAGTGGACTGGACCTCGCTGAAACCCTTCCTCAGGGACAGCGGTAGTCAGGCAGTTCAGGGAGCCTTGTCGTGCCTCAGGAGTGTTCCAACACCTCCAGTAGGCACCAGACCAAGGACTTGGCCCTGTCAGTCAGACAGGAGGGCCAGCAGAGCTCTCTGCTGGACCCTTTGGGCCAGCTCACCTCAGGAGCTGGGGGCCTTCGTTATTCAATCGTGCAGTGGCAGTCTGGGAACAGTACTATCTGCTACCTCCTACTGCTTCTGCCCGGCCTCAACAGGATTGGTATCAACTGCTGCGGTATCAAAGGGGCTACAAGCTAATCAGGATCGGTCTCAATCTTTCGTACTATTTTCTTAACTATGGTAGAAAGGACGATCCTTTCTTGCTGCTTTGCTGGAGATAAGCCAGCTGCGGGTGCTGGAGCTGTAGGCCAGCATAGCTGTTGGAGCTATCTCTGACGGGATCCAGAGCTCTCGCTCCTAAAAGTTATCGATGATCACAGACTTGGCATCTCCTCTAGTCATCGTGAAGATGGCAGAGTACGTGAACCTGCTGATGGACACTGCTGGAAAGGACCTATGGGACGTTTACCGTCGTCACCCTGCACTAGCTGTCCATCCGTGGCAAGAGCTGCAATCGATCCTTTTCGGTTTCCTAAAGCCAGCCACCAATGCCACACTCTATACCTCCGTCATTGCAGGTACAGGGGTCCAGTACAGCGCTTTCCGTGGGGCAATTGCCACTGCAGATTCACACATTCACGATCTCAGAGCAATCCTTAACGGAAGTGGACTTGGGAAGTTCGAAGGCATGCCGACCTGTGCTGGTTGGTTCGCAGTTGCTCTTCCTTCACGAGGGGTCTCTCGCGGACCATCTGGGCCCTCTGGCTCTCCTACTGGAAACACTGAACAGGGCCCTGGGAAGCGGCCACGTGTTGCAGATCCTGGAGACAACGACCGAAAGAAGAACCTGGGCATGTTGAAGTTCGACACGGCCATCGCCGGAACGAACCGGCTGCCTATGGTGACTGCCAGAGCTAAGAAGCGTGGCGGTAGAACCCCTGAAAGACTATGCATGAAGTTTCTCACGCAAGGTTATTTCTGCCCCAACGGGAACGATTGCAAGATGCCACATGTAGTCAATATCGATACCCTTACCGGAGACAACAAGTCCAAGCTGGTCGAGTTCGTTAAGAACCAAGCTGGTTTGTCCTGGGCCGAAGGAAAGGCCCCTGCTGGTGAGGTTTAGTTGGGCATACCCACTTTTCTGCCTGGTCGGATGCGAATCCGTGCCTGTGCCTGAAAATGTCCCAAGGGACCTACGTAACCTGTGTGATGCACCCGGTTGTATCTTTCTCTTCTAACTATTAAATTGTCTGTGGTTTCTTCCCAGCCACGTCCCCTGCACTATGTTTACCAGACCGTACCCTACGTAGCCACTCTGTGGTCTCAGGTTCTTATCCAGGGCCGCACTTGGTGATTGAAGAGATCTCGGATGGACCCGACCCTTTTGTGCGGCTCTTTCCAGATCCCGATCCTCGACTTGTACCGGTAGACGACATTGAAGATGTGGCTGTTGGACCGGTCATGGCTGAACGACGTGCTTTGGAATGGTACCCCACTGATTCTCCCGTTGTTGCACCGGATGAGGATCTCACCCTCAAGGAAGTGTTCAACCAAGCTGCTCAGCGCCGATTCCGGTCTCAGCTGGCTGTCCAGAACCCACAGGTCCTGGCGAAGATTGATCAACCATTTGGTAAGGACAACTTGTCCCAGTTCTTGTATTCGACCCCTGGTATGCGTCATGTCCTGTTGCCCCTGTGGAAGTCTGGTTTCTTGACTTTTCCTGGAGACTGTTGGGATGCCCTCAGCACTGCCTACTACCCAGCCAAGGTTCTCCTGGACCTACTTGGTGAGCTCTGGACTACCAAGTTTGCTGGTGTCCGAGGATACCCCAAGACCTGGGAAACCGAGACAGAACTGAGTACAGACCGAGTCAACATGGCTACTGCAGCCCTCCTCTATTTCGATGGGAGCGTTGCTGATCTAGTCCGATGGATAGGTGGGCCGCATGTTGCTGCCCACCGAAACCATGGGTCTACTTTGGATGCCCTCCGCATGGCTGATGCCGACCCTGACGTGATTGCTAGCCTTGACAGGATTTTCCACTCTGGAATACCTGCCCAGTGCCGTGCTTTCACGAGAGAGGAAAACTTCCTGGCTTACTACCGGTATGGAAACCACACCACGGTAGATGATGAGCCGGAGAAGACATACAAGGCCATGGTGAAGGACAACCGTAAGGGATACACACTGGTGGTGGACAAGAGAGCTGTGTTGTTTATGCTACACTGTCACTTGACCCCACAAGGTGTTGTTGACCTCAATACAATGTTCAAGAATCCACGACCAATCTTTGACAGTAGCTTCAGGCCAACACCCTCAAGCTATGCAATCAACGATTGGACCCAAAAGGAGACTGAGCCACCTCTCACGTTTGCCACTGCTGAGATGGAATTCATGGTCTGGCTTTACAATACCCGAAAGGACAACCCCCATGAAGAGATCTACATAGCTGATGACGATGTCAGTGGGGCTTTCAGGCTCATGAAGTATCACCCAAATTGTATGGGGATGCACACCAGTATCCAAGCCGGCTTCGGTGTCATCAACACTGGCGGCACTTTCGGAGACAATACTTCCCCTTCAAACTGGGATACTATTGGCCAAGCTAGGAGGCAACTGGCCCGATATCTATGGGCCCATGACACTGACGTCATACCCAGGACCCTCCCACATCTGCCTGAGATTCAAATGGCAGACCCACCAACCCCCGAGGAGATTGCTGAGTTTGCCCAAGCTGATGGCGATGGGATCAACCAAGGAATCATGAACCCTGATGGTTCACGGAGACCCCCACCCTACAACATGCATGTGGATGACAACCTGTATGCTGATGTTCGGTCACACCTGGTCCAGACGATCTGTGCTAGCGTGGCATCACTGTTTGATGTCCTTGGGGTCCCTGACAACCCACTCGTACCCTCACCTTTGAGTGGGGACAAGTTTGAAGCCTGGTACAACCACCGCAGGAAGCTTGTGGGTAGGCGCTTCGACTCCAGAACGCTTACCGTTGGGATGCTCCCACACAAGAAAGCCCAGCTGTTGGAGCTTCTCCAACTTTGGGCAACCCGAGAGAGCTTCGATCTCCTAGAGATTGCCCATCTACTCGGGACACTGGAAAACCACACCAAGTATGCAAGGTGGGCACGGTGTTGGTGCTGTGCATTGCAAAACGCAGTCCGTAGGGCTCTGGTGGCTCGTTTCCACATTGTCCACCGGCGGTACAACCGACAAGGCCGTGAGGTCCAGCTTCGGCGGGAGCTCCCTAGATCTTTGCTGGGCCGTGTGGAATCCATGATCCACCGGGAACGAGCAAAGCTCCTCTGGACCACCCGTCAGCGGTTCACTGTCGATGCCGACATGAAGGCCTCCATTGGGCACCTGCTGTGGTATGTCCGATCCACTGAGGCTCCGTGAGAAGTTCCTATTGGGTTGATCATCTCAAGAGAGCCCCATTTCTCCTCACGAGGAGATGCCAGCTTTGTTGGTGGTGGAGCATACTGCCTGGGCCTTGGTTTCTGGTTTGACATTGTTTGGTCACCCAAGACCATCCATGGTGCCCGGCATACCAAGTCCAGTGACCCTGGATTTGTCCACATTAATTCCTTGGAATTTATTGTGGTCGTTCTCCAGTTGGCTGCCATCGTGACCAGGATGCGTGATCTCCCTCCTGGCACGGTATGTACCTATTTCCCTGCTGGTGCCCCAGCAATCCCTGTGTGGTTTGGGGAAACCGACAATACGGTGTCCAAGTCCTGGGAAAACCGGGTCACTGCGAGGACTTCACAAGGACAGGGGCTTGTCTCGGTCTATGCTGAGCTCCTCCGGACGTCCTTGATCCATACCCAGTGCGAGCACTTGGCAGGGGTGCAAAATATTGTCGCTGATGACATCTCACGGAATGATTTTTCTATTCCCTTTTCGGACCGGGTCCAACAGCTGTTTCTCAAGCATCCCTGTCTGAAGCCCTTGGATTATTTCCTCCCGGGGCCCGAGCTTGTACAGCTCCTTACCTTGAGGCTGTACTCCAGAAGCATTCCAGTACCATGCACTCTGCCGCCAGTCCTGGGACAGTTTCTGCCCGTAGACTCCATTACCTCTGGTTCTGTTGTGCTATGAAGTGGGACGACAATTTGTCCCTATGAGGTGCCGACAAGGAGAAATGGGGACGACGTGGCCGGTACCAGTTTGCTATGTATGCTGTGCATCTTAGCTACGGGAATACTATCCTGTGTAAGTCCATCAAGGCATCCACCATTGAGCAGTACCTCATTGCGGTGTCATCACTTATCAAGGGATTCACTGAGGAGGACTTTCGCAAGGATGACAGCTCTGACAGGAACCTTGGCAGTCTCCTGTCTGGTGTTTTGAAGGACATCAAACGATATGAGAACATGGCTGACCGGCGTGAGCCGTATGACCACAAGATGCATGCAATGGCACGTCGTGCAGCATCCAAATTTCCGCACACCAGTGTGGTATGCACCCTAGTGGATGGTTTCGAGCAAGGGATGTGCGCGGGCTACCGGCTTACTGAATGGGCCCAGCCTGCAGGACGTACCTGTGTTTCTCGACCCCACCTCAATGGCCGCTCGGCACCTGAGTGCCGAACGCGTGCTATTGTACCTGTTGATGTTCGAGCTGTGTCAGTGGATGGACAACGTCTAGTTGGCTTGGCCATTATCATGCTGTCTCTCTGCAATGTTTTGAAAATGTACATCAAGTTTCGAACCCAAAAAAATGGGAACCATGGCGAGGAAAAACTCTTCGAACGGAACCCCACCCCTGGTGGTTTCTGTTTCGTCTCCTCCACCTACCGGTCCCTGGTGCGCTTTGCACAGATCCAGCTGATGTACCCTGGTATATCCCCTAGTGTCACCCCTTTGTCTATCTACTGGGACCCCAAGGGAAAGGTCCCCAAGCTGGTGGATGCTACGTCCATTGAGAAATTCATGCGACGACTGGCTTCTACTGTCTACAATTTGCACCCAGTGCATGACTCTAAAGACATTGCCAAATGGAGTTCACACTCCCTACGTGTTGGTGCATGTGTGGTCCTCCATGTCATGGGTTTTTCTGACCGTGATATCCAGTGGATACTACGCTGGAAGTCTATGACGTTCATAACCTATTTCCGCAACGTCGCGTTACTCTCTAGGCGCCAGAATGCCGCCTTTGACCGACTACAGGCTCTGCCGTGGTTGTAATTTAAAAATTCGGAACTATTTTATGTCCTGTCTTTTCTTGACTATGTTTCTTGGCAGCACGGACTCTATTTCCTTCTCGTGCTGCCGTTTTTCTGTTTTCCCTCGGGCTTTGCCTGATCTTTATGGGTTGTCGTTGCGACGACGAGTCGCCCGCTTCGATTGGAACGCCCCGTTGGCCACACGCTTGTTGTTGCTATTCAACTGGAGCATGCAACCAGTCACCACTTTCTTGGCTTCCTCTCGATTGTGGCGAGGGTCTTCGTCCCGCAAACTGTTGTGGACCAAATCAACGGTAGCGTTGAACAGGTTTTGTGTGGCTCGTGCCGTACGCTTGCTACACGCCAACGTGTTGTCCGCCATAGCTTCCCGAGCTACTTTCTTGGGCGTCATCATCTGGAGACGTCGTGCACCAGGGTTGAACCCCGGGGCCGTAGGGTTGTACCGCGTGTGCGCCTGCTTGAACTTGCCTTCCAACTCTGCAAGGCGCAAATCAGTGATCTTTTCTCTGTCAACATGCCACGGTGAGCGCCACTTAGCGCTCCCACCGGCAATCGCTTGCGCCACTGGTTGAACACCGCCTCCTCTGCCGCGGATTTGCTTCCCAGCGCCGCTTGCAGAAGCCCAAACACTGCGTCCATGCCATACTCTAGGCCTTGGACCTCCTCTTCCAACTGCGCGATTGTTTGATTCATTTGCAACTTTCCTGGCCTGTTTTCACGAACAACTAGGAACTCAAAGTGAGACGCTTTCTCCGTGTCCAACTCCATTTCATCATTTGCGTGACGCGTTTCCCAAAGCTATTCTGAGCGGCGCCTTTACACGCTGCCGTTTTTCTTCGCTGTGCAATTTCTGTTACACACCGTCAGGTCTGGGCGTTTTCACTCCCAGTTTCCTCCCTCGTGCTGGCCGTGCGTTTGGTTGTCCAAACTGTTCGCCTGCACGATTTCCCCGGACCTTTTCCCGGTTTTTTTCTTTTCCAGCTGTGTTGGCTGGCAGCCTCCATAACTATGGCTCGAACTTGCTCTTTGAGCAGCGTCGGCTGCTACTGGCTCTAGAAGCTAGTAGTACTAAAACTGTTCCCCCATTTCCCTAGTGGAATGGGGCAACACTCCTTAGCAATTACCTACCAAGGCAATATCCTGTGCAGGTGATTAACTAGCTGCATAGTTACAGATGCCCCCAGCCCCAGCTGAGGCGGTGGCAGGGAATCTTCGATTCCAACAGCAAGATGAGTCAGTTTGTGTGTGGTGGTGTCCACAACAAGAGATGAGTCAGTTTGTGTAGAACTTGTACTGTGTGTGGTGTGGATGTTGTACCCGTACCGATAGCTATTGAAACAGCAACCATGTCGCACCATCAAAGTATATCCCTGAACTGAGAGAAATACTGAGAGCCTGTACCTGTGGTAGCCATCCTACAGGAGGTATGGAGAGGTATCGAGTATCGAGTATCTAGCTAGGTACCCAACACCTGGTGTATGCAAGGTTGATCGATGTTCCACCGTTCGTTTATACCACTGAGAATGTCACCGCCTCGGTCGTAAGATAAATGAGGCTCGCACCTCTACTACACACTGTTAAGATAACAAGAATATAGAAAAATGAGGCTCGCACCTCTCTGTACGTTCGAAAAGCACAAGTCGTTCGAAAAGCACAAGTCCTCGAAATCGCTCGCAAGTGGCTACCAGCACGAAAACGAAAACACTACAGCTACAAGCACAAGTCCATGTAACAGAGTCACTATTAGGCATGGCTACCATGCTTATCAAACTAAGGTCAACTTTACTGAGCACGAACAATACAAAGATCCTCATGCAGACTGCCCATAATGGTGTCCTGCTTGATGGCAGCAGTAATATTCAAAACACTTCCTTTGTAATGCTCCTCAATCTTGGAGATGACCCAAGCTGGAGCTTTCTGAGCATTGACAAGTGTAGCCATGAGAGTCCAGAGTGGCTTCCTCCTGGAGTAGGTTGACTTGCAAGCCCTGATATCTTCAGCAGTGAAGTTCTTGGCTGGCTTGTTGCCACCAATACCATGCATCCACTCTTGCCAAGCAGAGCCAACAGTTCTGTACTTGGCTAGCTTGGCAGGCCTACTATCAGCAGGGGTGGTGGCCACAGCTTGTCTGTACCTGAGGCTAGTCTGGCCATTCCGGCGAGTCCTTTCCACAGTCAACCCATTTCTAAAAAGATTACCATCTACCTGATCAGGTGTTGCCATCCTTGGAGGCTGAACAGCAATCCTAAAAAGCATACAAAAATACATAGTTAGCAGCAGTAATAGCCATAGTTGCAATAGCCAACAGCCACAAGTCCACACTTACCAGCAAATATTTCCATTGAGTTTCGTCAGCTCCGCGCCAAGCCAAGTCTCCAACCAGCCTCTCAAAGCAGCAGCCGAACTGTCACGGGTCCTACCTTCTTGCGCTATGAGCTGCTGGAGCTGGTTGTGCTGCGCAATAATCCTTGTCAGATGCACTACGCTAAAAGCTAGTGTAAAGATCTTTCGAGTGTTTTGAGTTTGAGAGAATGAAAGTTATGAGAG